CAATATGTCATCTGATGTCTTGACTGATGCTTTCATTGGTGTTGATTGTAGAAACAAGTAATATGAAATCCTTGACAACTTCAATCTTTTCTCCATTCATTGTGAAGATGTTTATTGGTCCGATTGTGAGGATTTTTGTTTTCTCTGTATTGAGGTGTAATCCATACTGCAGACTGTAGTCTTTAATTTTCATCACTAAGTGCTTCAAGTCATCCTTACTTTCATCAAGCAAAGTTGTATTATCTGCATATCACAGGTTGTTAATGAGTCTTCCTCCAATCCTGATGCCATGTTCTTCTTCATATAGTCCAGCTTCTCAGATTATTTGCTTAGCAAACAAGTTGAATAAGTATGGTGAAAGGATACAACCTTGATGCACTCCCTTCTTGATTTTGAACCATGCAGTATTCCCTTGTTCTGTTCAAACAACAGCCTCCTGATCTATGTACAGGTTCCTCATGAGTACAATCAAGTGTTCAGGAATTCTCATTCTTTTCAATGTTATCCATAATTTATTATGATCCACACAATTGAATGTTTTTGCTTAGTCAACAAAACATAAGCAAACAACTTTCTAGTATTTTTTGGTTTCAGCTAAGATCCATCTGACACCAGCAATGATATGCCTCACTCCACATCCTCTTCTGAATCCAGCTTGAATTTCTGGAAGCTCTATGTCAATATACTGCTGCAAGTATTTTTAAATTATCTTCAGTAAGATTTTACTTGCATGTGGTATTAATGATATTGTTCGATAATTTCCACATTCTGTGTGATCACCTTTCTTTGGAATAGGTACAAATATGGATCTCTTCCAGTCAGTTAGCCAGATGTCTTCCAAATCTTTTGGCATAGCCAAGTGAGTGCCTCCAGTGTGGCATCCATTTGTTGAAACATCTCAGTGGGTATTCCATCAATTCCTGGAGCCTTGTTTTTCTTCAATTCCTTCAGTGAAGCTTCGACTTCTTCCTTCAATACCATTGGCTCTTGATTATATGCCACCTCCTGATATAGATGAATATCAGCCAATTCTTTTTGGTACAGTGACTCTATGTATTCCCTTCATCTTCTTTTCATGTTTCCTGCATCATTAAATATATTGCATATAGAATCTTTCAGTATTGCAACTCAAGGTTTAAATTTTTTCCTCAGTTCTTCCAGCTTGAGAAATGTTGAGTGTGTCCTTCCCTTTTGGTTTCCTAACCTCAGGTCTTTGCACATTTCATTATGGTCTTTGTCTTCTTGAGCTGCTCTTTGAAATCTTCTGTTCAGCTCTTTTATCTTGTCATGTTTTCCATTTGCTTTACCTACTCTTCACTAGTGCCTAAGGCACTTGACTGCTAACCAGAAGGCGGTTCAAACACACCAGCCACTCCTTGAAAGGAAAGGTTGGGCAATCTACTTCCATCGTGATACCACCTCAGAAACCCAAATAGGGGTTGTTATGGGTCAGGTCCGACTCAACGGCACATAACAACCACAACAACAACTCATCACTCAAGGGCAAGTTTCAGAGTCTCTTCTGAAATCCATTTTGGTCTTTTCTTCCTTTCCTGTCTTTATAATGGCCTCTTGTTTCCCCCATGGATGATGTTCTTGATGTCATCTCACAGTTCCTCTGGTTTTCAGTCATTGGTGTTCAATGCATCAAATCTGTTCTTTAAATGGTCTCTAAATTCAGGAGGGATATAATTAAGGTCATATTTTGGCTCTCATGGACTTGTTTTAATTGTCTTCAACTTTAACTTTAACTTGCATATGAGAAGTTGATGGTCTGTTCCACAATCAGCTCTTGCCTTTGTTTTGGCCAAAGATATTAAACTCCTCCATTGCCTCTTGCCACAGATGTAGTCAATCTGATTCCTGTGTATTCCATCTGGTGAAGTCCATGTGTATAGCCATCACTTATGTTGTTGAAAAAAGGTATTAGCAATGAATAAGTCATTGGTCTTGCAAAATTCTATCATGCAATCTCCAGCATTATTTCTATTATCAAGGCCATACTTTCCAAGTACTGGTAACTCTTCTTTGTTTCCAACTTTTGCATTCCAGTCACCAGTGATAATCAACACATCTTGATTATATGTTCAGTCAATTTCAGACTGCTGAAGTTGGTAGAAACCTTCAATTTCCTCATCTTTGGCTTTGGTGGTTGGTGCATAGATTTGAATAATAGTAGTATTAACTGGTCTTTCTTGTAGGTGCATGGATATTATCCTGTCACTAACAGCATTGTACTTCAGGACAGATCTTGAAACAGCCTTTGTGATTATGAATGCCACATCATTCCTCTTCAATTTGTCATTCTTGGCATAGTAGACCATATGGCCAAAACCAGTCCATTTCAGCTCACAAATGCCAATGAAGGAGCTCTGGTAACATAGTACCTAAGGCACTTGACTGCTAACCAGAAGGCTGGTGGTTCAAACCCACTATGCACTACTCGGAAGGAATGTTGGGCAATCTACTTCCATAGTGATACCATCTCAGAAACCCAAGGAGAGGTCACTATGAGTTGAATCTGACTCAATGGCACATAACAACAACAACAAATGCCTATGATATCAATCTTTATGCATTCCATTTAACTTTTGACAACTTCCAATTTTCCTGGATTTATACTTTGTGCATACCATGTTCCTATTATTAATGGATGTTTGTACCTGTGTTCTACTCATTTTGAGTCATGCCACATCAGCCAGTGGAGGTCCTGAAAGCTTTACTCTATCCATGTCATTAAGGTCGTCTCTACTCTGAGTTGTCAGCTCTTCCCCAGTCAAATTTTGAGTGCTTTCTGACCTGATGGGCTCATCTTCTGGCACTATATCGACAATGTTTCAGGGCTATTCATAAAGTTTCCAGTAATATATCAGACAGTGTTTCATGCTATCCATAAGGTTTTCACCAGCCAATTCTTTGAGAAGTGGATGGCCTCTTTCTTCTTCCAAGTCTCTCTTACCCTGGAAGCTCTGCTGAAAACTGTCCCCCATGGGTGACCCTGCTGGCATTTTGCAACACTGGTGGTATAGCCTCCAGCCTTCAGCCTCACAGCCACATGTAAGCCACCACAGGATGACAAACTGACAGACAAGTGCATCTCCCTTAGTTGTTCCTAACCCCACTGCACCAGCTTACCTTGAGCCCTGGACTTAAAATAGAGCCTCCCCCAAACAAAAGCAGCCCCCAAGACCTGCACCCACCTCCCTCAGGCCCTGGTCTTAAAGTAGAGCCCCTCCCAAGTGAAAAGCATCACCCGAGCCCTGCACCTTCTTACCTCAGGCCATGGCTTTAAAATACAGCCACCTCCAAGCAAAACGCAGCCCCTGAGCCCCATACCTGCCTACCTCAAGTAGTTCAAACCCATTAGCCATTCTTCAGAGGCAGGTTGGGCAATCTAATTCCATAGTGATACTGCCTCAGAAACCTCAGGAGGGGTCGCTATGAGTTGGATCCAATTCAATGGCAGTGAGTTTGGGTTTTTTTGGTTCCCAAGCAAAAAGCAGTCCCCAAGCCCCATGCCCACCTACCTTGGGCCCTGGTGTTAAAATAGAGACACTCCCAAGTGAATAGCAGCTCCCAAGACCTGCACCTGCCTACCTTGGGCCCCAGCCTTAAAATAGAACTGCCCCCAAGTGAACAGCAGTCCCCAAGACCCATGCCCACCTACTCTGGGCCCCAGCCTTAAAATAGAGCTGCTCCCAAGAGAAAAACAGCCCCTGAACCACACATCTGCCTACCCTGGGGCCCGGCATTAAAATAGAGCTGCCCCCATGTGAAAAGCAACCCCAAGCCCTGTGCTCACCTATCTTGGGCCCTAGCCTTAAAATAGAGCTGTCCACAAGTGAATCCCAGGAAGACAGTGGGCTTTACACCTTGCCCCGTCAGGTGCAACTGCAGACTATAAAATGAATAAGCTGCCTCATCCTGGAAACTCCACTGCAGAGTACTTGATCCTTGGACTGTTGTCACCTGGCCCTAGGAGTCAGTGCCAGCTGTGGGATGTGGACCAGGCACCATACTTACCTTACTGTGCTGTCTCAGCAATAGTAATTGAAAAAAAAAAAGTCTCAGTCCACTTGAGCTCATGCAACTCCTTATGGTCAAATCCATGGTACAGTAACAAGCATACCCCAGTAACTATTGCTGCTTGGGAACTGTCAGCCATGGGTGGTTTCTCTGGCTAAAAGGCAGGAATGTTCTTTGGGAGCAAGCACATATAATCTCCCATCCCCTAAAAATCATAGTATTGTCCTCCCCAGGAGTATTTTTCTCTCTGCCAGGAGATCTAGACAATTGAAGGCAAATTTCTAAACTTTCCTTACTGATCCTCCTGCCGTTACCTCTTCATCAACTCCTAGGCAATACTTATCCCAGCCACATAACACTGATCTTCCAGACTTGACTTACTGACCAGCATTTCTTGGCATGAGACACTGTACAGTGCCATTTCATAATGAAATCCACAGTACCCCACACACAGTTAGAGCCTATATTGCTTATTGTTTAAGATATAACCACCTTAGTACCATTACAGTTGCCCGGAATCAGTAAATTTACAAGATGTAAATCCATTGATGAAAATGCTTATCAGGTGATTTGATAAAGTAGGAAATAAATGAACCTCTCATGTACACAGCCCTGAGATGCTCAAGTCCCAGCTGTCTTCTAATGAAGCAGGTAAAGACATGTTAATGGGATTAATTTATAAATGCAGATTTTGAGTCTCAGAGAGGTTAAAATCTTGTTCCAATAAGGTTACACTTCAGTGAGGGGCAGAGTGAGAGTAAGAATAATGTGTAAATTTTTCCTTGTGCTTCAGAAATTCATCTTGCCAAGATTCAGAAAACCAACTCTAGTACAGTTCCGTTTTCTGCCTACAGTGAGAATACAAACACTAGGAGTAACATTCTCCATTTTGAATAAGTTGCTGGGACTAAACCCTCCCAGAGCCTAATACATTAAAATATTCTTACGTGTGGATAAAGCAGACATAAACGCACCTCAAATATAATCAGCACATAGACCCCTGCCAAGATGGTCACAGCGATTATGACTTGTGTCTCTACATCTGCACCAAGGTAGTGATGAGCCATCAAGACAGGAATCGCCTGGTTCTGCAGGAAGGAAGCTCGGATGGTGATCAAAATGGCCTCTCTGCAGAATGAAGCAAAGATTTCACAGTTGGTAAGGGAAGAAAACCCTATGTTGACTGTGTTAGTTAAGTGTCTACTGTGGCCACAGTCAGAACTGGACAGATCTTAGAGGTGCTCAGGGTGATGCCTGGCCTCATAAAAGGGAGCACAGATAAGTGGTGTAAGGCCCAAGCAGATTGCTGTGACAGTGTTGGACACCCCATCTCCTCCACTTAAGCAAACAATGCCCGCTATACTAGAGGTGCCATCTTGTGTTAAAACCAACATCTACATATGATTCACAAGCTCACATATGATTCTACTCATTTCATTTTCTCTCTTCCTCCTTACCACATACTTGACCACTTTACCTGCTGGCAAAGAGCAAAGCCAACTATTTAAACTTCAGTCACTGACAGGGCAATAAAATGCCACAAACTAGAAACCTGCAAATAAATCATTGAGAGTTTGTGGCAGAGCACTCTTCTAAGTCCAACCAGTAATCCAGAGAGATTGAACACAGAGTGGCATCTGCTAAAGAAAAAGAGAAAGAACCCAAAAATTTCCTGTAATCCCATATTGAATATCTTCACAATATTAGTGTAATTAGAATTTCAGTTAAAAATTCCATTTGCTTCAAAGTTGGCCCCTACATGAAATCACCTTATTTCTTAACACTTGTGGTTAGCATGCTGTTATGGATTAAATTGTGTCCCCAAAAACAATATGTATTGTAAATCCCAACACCTATACCTGTGGTTATAACATCATTTGGAAATGGGATTTCTTTGTTATGTTAATGAGGTAATATTACTATAGGGTATGTTATGAGTCAATCTATTTTGATATATAAAAAGAGAATACTAAGCAAGCAGAGATGGGGGAAGATAAATGTCATGACACATGAAGATCACCAAGGAGCCAAGGAATATAAGATGAAGTGAGACAAGGACCCAGAGCAACAGAGAGAGAGAAAGCTTTCCCTCAAAGCCAGCATTCTGAATGCAGACTTCTAGTCTCCTAGACTTTGAGAAAATAAATTTTTCTTTGTTAAAGCCACCCACTTGTGGTATTTCTGTTATAACAGTACTAGATAACTAAGACACATACTTTCTTCTGAGCATCCTCTGTGGTCAGTCTACTGAACATTATCACCCTGTCTAGGTCACATAACTGACCAGGTGCTTTTGTGTCAAAAGTGTGTCCTACAGCTCAAAAATACATGGGTGAGCATGTCTTAGAGCATTGGCTCCCAAAGCCTCAATCATTCACATACCTGCTTCGTATCTCAAAGGTCCTGCTTATGACAAAGTGCTCATTTCTTCTTGGATTTAAAAATACTGTCCAATTATAAGTGACCTGTAAAAAAAAATGAAGTTTAAAATTGTGATAAGGCACTTACATTGGAACATTATCTGAAATCTGGACTATTCTGTTAAGACAATACTTTAGTGGAATGAGAAAATGAGAAAGAAGCACAGTTTTATAGTGCGCTCACAGTTTTATAGTGCATTAAGGGCAGATGAAAGGTTTGTGGAACTTGAAATGTATTCAATTTAGAGGGCTTCATCCAAGAAAAAGAATACCAAAGTACAAATTAGTATGCAAAAGTGAAAACAATATATAAATAAATACTGATTTGTTATGAGAAAGAAATTACTACAAGTTACAACAACAACAACAACTGGAGACTTACAGCAGTCTTGTGAGACCTCTTTAGGCAAATTACAGGACAGCTACTTAGAACCACTTCCTGCTGGCAGCCTGGCTACATCCCCATCCCAAAAAACTTCTGCACATCCCAGGGCAGCTGGGTGACTGCAGAGCAGCCTGGAAATAACACTTCACTTACTGCTGGCAAAACCAAATCCTCCTGTAGTAGTGGTACTTGGAGCAGAGGCAGAGAGGGGGAGCCATTGCCAAGGAGGAAAGGAACTTTCAATGAAGGATCAAGACAACAAATCACATAGAAATTGAAACTAGAACCTCTGGAACTAGTCAAAGCAGCGAAATGTACCAGAGAACACAAGTTCTCCTGAAACACTTCGATATTTGCATAGAATATCTGGAAAATTCCTTCCATAAAGAGCCCTGTGTTAGATTTGGAGAAGCTCTGGTAGCATGGTGCCTAAGGCACTTGACTGCTAACCAGAAGGCTGGCGGTTCAAACCCACCAGCCACTCCTCAGAAGGAAGATTGGGCAATCTACTTCCGTATTGATACTGCCTCAGAAACCAAAGGAGGGGTTGCTATGGGTCGGGGCCAACTCTACGGCACATAACAACAATAGCCAGATTTGGGTGGGGGAGTGGAGAGTAGAGGGGGAGTATTTCAGGGGGTCTCTTCAGTTTACCATCATGACCAGTTGGAGGTGGGCTATGAGTACACACAGGTTGGGGGCAGTCCCCATCCCATGCCAGGTTTACTTTCCTGGACAAGTAGGTTTACTAGGGGCAGGTGCAGCACACAGGGTGCCACAATTATGTCCTGGGGACATGGTCTGGGTGGCCTCTTCAGCCTGTGAGTACTCCATACTCTATTGAGAGCTCAGCCTCTGCCTCAGGCCTGCTCCACTGCACAAGCAGGGCTTCCTTCTCCTACCTAGAGCTGGGACAGCATTGACTGAAGATGACTTCCAAGCAGAATTCAGTATGATAGTTTAGTGGCTTACAGAGGCCAGGCTCTGGTAGCAGCTGGCTGCACATAGGGGTCCTCCATATGTACAGAAAGTACAGAAGCAATTTTTGCTGACGCAGGGTGGGCTCTCCCTGACAGTGCTGCCCTTCATGGGACATGAGCTGAAGGCTTTAGCTCTTTGACACAGAAGCAGACGTCTGTGGACAACATGCACACTCTTGAAATCATCCACAACCACAATAGAAACAAGGTGTGGGTCTTTAGTGCCACAAAGAGAAGTACAGAATTAATTGTGCTTTTAACAACAACCACAAAAAATACTTTTAAATATAGGCTACTCCCCTGAATTGCCCAATGAAATCATTCTGAACTCACCCTGGTTTTACTGAAATGGAAAGTTTTATGATTGATTATAGAAAAGGAGAAAAGAGAATTTCAGAGACCAAACAATAAACAAATTGCTTAACTGTGATGTCATTGCCTAATGGCTCTCCATCACCTCCATTCAAGAGGAAACCCAATTTACAAAGAGAAAGAATGTGTTTTACAATTATTTTCTAATGACTTATAAGTGTGACCTGCTGTGGCCTCCGCTGTCTTGGGCCTGGAGCATCTGCCTGGGTGACCTCGACCACGATATGCTCTTCTCTCCCAGGGTCACTTAGCCTGCTGGCTGACAATGCACCCGCCAGGTCCACCTGGAGTAACGTGGAGTCCACTGTATCAGTGAGGTTCACAGCTGTAATGTGTCAAGGAGAAATACGACAAGGCCAGGCCCCCCAGCTTCCCAATTGTGCTTTCATCCCTTTCATAGGTGCACGAAGAAATGCATCTGAAGGTCCACCACTTTTGACCATGCCCGTCTCCTCTTTTTATGCCTCACCTTTAGCATCTTCTGTTATAACATCAGGAGCTCTGGTGGCATAGTGCCTAAGGCATTTGACTGCTAACCAGAAGGCTGGAAGTTCAAATTCACCAGCCTCCCCTCAGAAGGAAGATTGGTCTACTTCGATAGTGATACAGCCTTGGAAACCCAAGGAGGAGTTGCTATGGATCAGATCCGACTTGATGGCAGTGAGCATTTTTGTTTTTGTTTTTTTTGCTATAAATTCTACATGTTGTTTATTCACTGTTAAAGAGAGGAACTGGAGACCAAATTGATAGATCCCTCTGAGTGCAAAGGAAAATTCCCAAAGATCACTTATCTTTGTAGAATGTACCCACAAGCAGATAAAAAGAAGTATGGTGGAGACACAGTAACCATGAGGTTGCACAATGTTAACCCTTGTGACAAAGACATTTGTTAACTATAAACTATGCAAAGAGATTAAGTTTAGGTAATTTTCCTTGCTTCCTGAGAGACAATTCTAAATCTTGAGAATTTCCTGAGCCATTGTGGTGCCTTTACTATTTAAAAGCTCTGGACAGTAACTGAGAATTTGTACAAATAAACAAGGGTGGTGTAGTACCTAAGGTATTTGACTGCTAACCCGAAGGCAGGCAGTTCAAACCCACCAGCCACACCCAGAAGGAAGATAGGGCAATCTACTTTTGTAGTGTTACTGTCTCAGAAACCTAAGGAAGTGTCACCATGAGTCAGAGCCAACTCCATGGCAGTGGTTGCATTGTGGTAGGGAGACTACAAAAAACACCTGCTGGCCTGATATCTGCTCACTCAGGATGGGGAGCATGATTGAATCAATAATGCTAAGATTGGTCAATAGTTAATTTTCTACTCTATGCTTCTTCTTTTCCTCTTTAAAAATTCATTGTAACTGCCCTAAGATAAGCCTTCCTAAACAGAGAGGTCTCTGTTCAGGATTAACAGCTTGAATAAATCTTGTACATTTTAATTCTTTTTGAGCTTCAATTATTTTGACATCACTCATAGTGAGGATCATATATGCTTCCACTTCCTGTAGCCATTGTAAAGCTTCTATCCAATTTCCTGGGCCCACAGTGAACAGTAAACAAGATGACTGCATGAGCAGGTGGTATCGGCACCTGTCCCTAAAGTGAGAAATCACAGAGAATTGAAAATAAGAATTCTGAGATTGGCTAAGCAGTGTGCAGCCTACAGTGAGAAGAGAAGAAATCCTTCAAAATGAGGTGGCAGTGGCTCCTGGTCAGGGAAGAGGTACCAAGAAAAGAGGCCCCTCCCCACCTCAAAGTGTAGCCTGTGGTGCTTACTCCTGCACAGAACCATTCACTTGGCCTGACTTCCTTGCTGCCCAACTGTCAGAGAAGAGGCCCCCTCCTTGGACCACTGCCCACAGGTGACCCCTGCAGAACTTCACACCTTAGGCTTTGAGTGACTGCAACTTGGGGAGACAGCATCTATGTTGTTATAGATCCTATATAAAACCAGTTGCTGTTGAATCGACTCCAGGACATGGTAACACCAAGTGTGTCAAAGCAGCACTGTGCTTCACAGGGTTTTTAATGGCTGATTTGTTGGAAGTAGATTGCCAAGCCTTTCTTCCAAGACACCTTTGGGTAGACATGAACTTCCAATTTTTCAGTTAGAAGCCAAGGTTTTAAAATGTTTGCACTACCCAGGGACTCCAGATCCTATACAGTAGTCTATGTTTTTGTTCAGAAGAGAGAAGAGTTGAGGAAAAATAAATCTCGTAATTGTTCATACTTCTATATGAGGTCTTCAAAGGAGCTCTGGTTGCTTAATGATGAAAGTGTTCTGCTGCTAATCAAAAGGTTGGCAGTCCAAACTCAGCAGCCACTCAATGGGAAAAAAGATGAGGCAGGCCACTTCCATAAAGATTTACAGCCTTGGAAACCCTATGGAAAAAGTCCACTGTGTTCTATAGGGTAGCTGTGAGTCAAAATCAAGTGAATGGCAGTGGATTTGACTTGGTTTTAGTATATGAAGTCTTTAGCTGCAGTTCATTGATTTTAGTAGGATTCAGTAGCCAATTATTTTACTCTTCCTCAGATTCCTAAAGAAATAGATGGTTAAACCAAAAAAAAAAAAAAAAAAAAAAAAAAATCAAAAAAAAAAAAAAAAAGCTTCCAAATTAGAAAGAAGACGTAATGCACTGCCATCAAGTCAGATCTGACACATAGCGACCCCTCCTTGGGTTTCTGAGATGGTATCACTACAGAAGTAGATTGCCCAACCTTCCAAATTTAGGGAAAAGGCAGAATTTCTCTGCTGCCAGAATATCTGCAGGATTTGTGTTGTATGCTTGTGTGTGTAAGGTAATGATTATTCTTTTTCATTGTTTAGTTCCTCCAGCAAAAGTACTGGTTTATTTAAAAAAAAAAAAAAAAAAGTGTACAGAAATATGCTGGTAACATAATGCTATGTCAGCACTGCTGTTAATGAATCCAGAACAGGCAGCTGTCACACTGTTTGGCTGGAGAGATGCTCCTCACACATCTGTTGTATGGGTTCAATCAAGGATAAGAGAAAAATAGAAGTCTGTCATGAAGCAGAGGATACTAAGAAAAAACACAAAGAGACAATGTTCCTTTGTCCATATCTGAAATCATTACTATCCCACTCCTTCCCAAGACAGACAGACATAAGATTTTGGGTCGGGAAAAAAAAACTTTAGCACAGAATAGATTCAAGAAATCTTGAAGAAGTCCAGTTGGAATGCTGACATCAGGTGACCAATGTCAGAAAGACATTGGACCAACCCAGGAGGGTTTGCCCTCTAAGATTTATTGTTTTGGGAACATCTGTTGGGTACCACTAGGAAGGAAGATGGGGCAATCTACTTCTGTAAAGATGTACTGCCTTGGAAACCCAGTGGGGGTCGCTATGAGTTGGAATCAACTCGATAGCAGTGGATAATGTTCTGGTATTAGCTATTGTTGTTTGTTGTTATGTGCCATCAAGTCAAATCCGACTCATAGCGACCCTTCCTTGGGTTTCCAAGGCAGTATTACTATGGAAGCAAATCCCAACTTCTGAGACTAGCAAAGCAGACCTTCCAGGATCTAACTCCTCCTCTCCTGCAACCTCTGGTTCCAGCTTCCAGCCATTTTACTAATACATTATGTTAGTGTCCCCACACATGCCATGGTCTGAACTGTCACCTGGGCAACAAATCTGGAAAACTCTTACTGCCCCTTGGAACTTTCCCTCAGGCTCTATTCTTAAATTTTTCCTGTCACCTGCATCATCACCCAAGGAAAAGTTATAACTCCTGCATTTGTCCTGTGTGAGACCTGTACTTACTCTGTGAAGGAGTTTATTCATGTCTAATGCAAGTTGTTTTAGATATTTCTCCCAAATTGGTCTACCTCCTCAAGGGAAGGAATTACCTCTTATCCACTTACTTATTTAGCTAGAGACTAATGTAGTTTTCACCACATTAACCCTTTACCATCAAATTGATTCTGACTCATAGCAGTCTTATAGGACAGAATAGAAACTTCCCCATAGGGCTTCAAACTTTATTAAAGCAGACTGCCACATCTTTCTCCCACAGAATGGCTGGGAGGTTCAAACCGCCGACCTTTTGGTTAGCAGCTGAGCACTTAACCACTGCACCACCAGAGCTCCTTTCACCACATTAGATGTTGCTAATAAACATTTGTTTAAATAATAAACATTTAAGTCTTCCAACTCTAGGACACAGACCCAACCGACTAGCCTTTGTGTGTGGTTGTAGGGTGGAAAAGGAAAAGAAGGAAGTTTCAAGGGGAGACAAAAGAATACAGAGAAAAATCACCTCCTTCTCTCCCTGAATCAACCACTGTGCTCTTCCCGTCTTTTCAACTACCTGAATTTATCCCCTTATCCAAGCCCTGCCCTACTATCTCCTCCTGCTTGAGTCCTCCTCACACCAGGTGAGCCACAGATGTCCCTTCTGAGTTCCTGGAGCACTGTTCTTCAGTGAGCTCCTTTTGTTCCTCCAGTGAGCAGTGGCTGTCTGCTCAGCTCTAGAGCTGGTTACCCATGGGTGCTGTTCCAGGAGCCCCACAGTGTAGTGGGAGAAAGGCACATGGGCAGAACTTCTAAACACAGGTGATGTGCTGTGCCATAGGAGAGAAGTCTCCAGAGCATGAAGATATGCCTTCTTATAATTAATCCACAGAGCACCCCCCCCCATATGCTTACAACCCCAGCCATCATCAGACTGAGGGAAGGTAAGGAAATAGGTTCCCTTCCAGTGCCCTTCTGGATAAAATGGGAGCATTATTATCTGATGAAGCACAAAAGACTAAGGATTGAGAAATCTATTTAAAATAAGCCTATCTGGTGCTGATGTGTTTTCTCCAGCATTCAGGACCAAATGGTCAAACAAGTTCCTTTAATGTATAGAGCAGTCCTGACCAATAGAACTCCCTACAATGGAAATGTTCTATACCTACCTACACTGTCCAATACATAGCCACTAGCCACATGTGGCTACTGAGCACTTGGATGTGGCTAGTGCAACTGAGAAAGTGAATTTTTAATTTCATTTACTTTATTAATATAAATTTAAACTTAAAAAGAAACAGGTGGCCAGTGGATACTGTATTGGACAACACAGCACTGAAGTAATCTAAGACTCTTAGGCTGTATGTAAGGAGGGATAAGTGGGGGAAAATAACCTTTAATGCATCTAGTGCTTCTTTTATTCTCTAAGAGACTGGATAAGAATGCAGTAGATGGTGGAAAGTGGACCCCCTGTAATGGAAGAAAGGGAGAGATGAAGGAAGGGAGGGAGGGAAGAATGGACACTCTGATTATCCTGATTCTGAAGGCTTGCTGACCTCTATTAA